ATCCCCTGTTCCAAGGCTTTCCCAGACCTGACATTCCCTGTTCTAAAGTCCCTCCCGGCCCTGACATCCCCTCTTCCAAGGCTTTCCCAGACCTGACATTCCCTGTTCTAAGGCATCTCTTGGGTCTGACATTCCCTGTTCTAAGGGCTCTCCTAGCTCTGATATCCTTTGATTCTACCCTTGCAGACTTCAGAAATACTTTAGAATGAGAACAAAAATCCCACTTAAAATGTTTTTCAAAAGTTGGGCACATTTTTCTGTTAGTTCCTTAGTTTATTAGTTAGTTTATTCACATCAATTCTGCAATTCTCTCTTGGCTGATACCTCTAATTTCAGCCGCTCTGTAAATTCAAAGAAATTACAGAAAAAGGAAGGGAAAGGGCCTAGCTAAGATCTCATCTGGACTGGAAAGGCCCCAGTGCCCGAGCCCTGGATCTTTCAATCCTGGCCTGGCTGCCGACATGGTGGGTGCCGTTCAGCCAGTGACTTCACCTTTCCGGGACCCTGGCTAGCCTCACCTGTAAAAAATGGGCAATGACTCCTATCCTTCCTCCTGCCCAGGATTTTGAGGAGGTTCCAATGAGCTAATGTCTACAAAACCCTGTCAGGTGCTGCAGAAATGTAAGCTGTTATTACCGTAAGAAAGCATCTTCTAGGCATGGGGGCTCAAGCCACGGCTTATCACCACCCTCACTTTTCAAACAGACTTTCCAGAGAAAGAAAACATCTCCAGTAGCCCCAGAAATGTATTTTGGGATTTGTTTAGTCTTGACTTTTAAGTGTGGTCATTCGTGGATGCCATGAGGGTGGACCCGCCGAAGGGTGATCTGGTCTCCCTGAGCTGTTTGTTTTTTTTTTTCCTTTTCCCCCCCTTTAAAAAAAAATAATAGCAATGTTCAGACATCTGTTCCCTGGAATCCAGATTGGAACATTTGTCTCCCATCCTGCTGTGGAGTGAGGGCTTCTGGCCTCCCCACACTGTTCCTGGCAGGCAGGAGGCCAGTATTTATTCAGAAAATCCCAGCAACTGTGGGCACACGATGAGACATCTATTTTTTGGACAAAGCCAATGTGGGAATGTGTTTTGTTTGACTATACATCTTGGTTACAAAGACTTTATTTTTCTTTCTTAGGTTTTTTTTTTTTAAATGGTGGGGCGTAGGAAGGAAAATAGATTTTTGTTCCCTGAAACAAATTTTTTTTTTTGAAAAGAGAACATATCCAACACTTTCTAAAGCTTGAAAGCTAATGAAAAGACTTCTGGTGATGACAAAGAATTGGAAACAAAGTAGATGCCCATCGACTGGGGAATGGAGAAACAAAGTATGGTAGGTGAATGTCACGGACTTGTACTGCAATCTAAGAAATGATACATGCACTGGATACAGAGAAGCATGGAAAGATCTATATGAACTGATGCAGAATGAAGGGAGTAGAGTCAAGAAAACAACATAAACAAGGACTACAACAACAGAAATGGAAAGAATCAAAAATTGTCTTTACGTATAATTGGGGAAAAATGTTATTTCAAAAAAGAAAAGTAAAAAAAAGAAATGGAAAGAACCACAAAGAAAAAAATTTAGAAAGGAATGTTATAAAATTATAACAATCAAATGGTACTCTAACAAAGAGATATGAGAAGGTACTCTCACTTCCATCCTTTCACAGAGGTGAGAGGTCCATGAGTGTTGTACATTTTATATGTTGTACATATATATTTTCAGACTTTTTCAATGTATTGATCAGTTATACTGTTTTCCATTCTTTCTCTCTTTTATTATTTTTTTGTTATATAGTATTTTAAAATACTAAAGTAACTATTTGTTATATTTGTTATAGGGAGAAATTAGGGTGATGTAAAAAAAACCAAAACACCTTATTTTAAAAAAAAACCAACAGTGGAATTAAGTGAGTAGTAATCAGAGATTCCTGATTTCTCCCTTGGGCGTCAGTCCTGGCAAACCCAATTGGCATCTCAAACTCAATATGACCTGAACTTGAATGCATGATCTTCCCTCACAAAACTGGTCTCTCCATCCAACTTAGCTGTCTTGGTGGAGGGCAGCACCTTTGTCATGGTCACTCAGGTGTGCCCTCACAGTCTATCCTAGACTCATATATCCCCTTTATCACCCACATCTAACCAGCTGCTAAGACCTGGGGCTTCTACCTGGCATAACTGTCTTCTTCCTCTCCTCACCCTCTACATCACTTTAGCATCAAGCTCCCATCACCTCTCACCTGGACAATTATACCAGCCTCCTAAATGATCTCCCTGCTTCAAGTCACTCCCTAAGCCAATCCGTCCTCAATTCCTTCAATGCTCTTTGAGTTTACAGGTATTTAAGACCCTCTCAAGGGAACCTTGGACCATCCCCAAGAGAATATTCGTACTAGGGGGAGAAAAGGTCATACCTTGGCCCCAAGAAGAAAACAGATCAGCAGCAAAACACAGTGTCTGGCACATTAGAAAGTGCTTCATAAAGGCATGCTGAATGACTGATTTCAGAGGCTCGAGGTGACCCTGTTATTCCCCTACTCAAAAATCTTCTGGAGCTCCCTCTGGCCTCTAGGAGAACGTATCAGCTCTACCTGGTATCAGAAGTCCTCAACCACCTGAATCCAACCACTGCTCCTGTCTTGTTTCACAATAATTAACACTTAGCCCTCCCCTGCCCTTAAGAGACACCACTTTCCTACAACCTCGGGCTACCAGATGTTCCTTAAACCATCTCAGCCATTTTCACATACTCCTCATCTCCACCTTATTCAAGGCAGGGAGGTGCAATTGACAGAGAACTGGTTTGGACCTGGGTTTGAGTTGTGCCGCCATTGCCCTGTGAGCTCCCTAACAGCTCAGTCTGGTTTGTTTTGGTTTTGGCCTTTCTTTGTATCCCCCATGCTTAGCTCAGTGCCCAGCACATAGTAGGAGCTTAATAAATGCTTGCTGACTGACTGATTTCAAAGCTCAGCTCAGGGGGCCTGAGTTGGGATCTGCCCTCTTCAAATCTCCCTGGATTTCTCCTTTTCGTCTCTGTTTACAACATCCTTCTTTGTGTATCATAAACCATCAATAGCTTTAAAAAAAAACAAAACCTCTGGTCCCCTGCATAGAATCCACCAAAGAGACTTAATAATTTGATACACAGAACTGGAAGGGACCTGAGAGGCCATCCAGTTCAACCCATACCCAAAAAACAACCTACAAAAATACCCAACAAATGGCCTTCCAGTTGGTGCCTGAAGGTGCCCGGTGAGGGAGAGCCCATGGAACCCTGGCCATCCCCATCCCACCCTTGGACAGCTTGGTTAAGAAGCTTCAATGACCCTCTCTACAACCTTCCCCCTTGTTCCTGGATCTCCCCCTCCAGGGTCAACCAGAGCAAGACTCATTCTTTTTCAACATGGTGGGCCTTTTCATAATAACTTATTTATATATTGCCTTAAGATTTACAAAGCACTTTACAAGTATTCTCATTTTATCCTCAAAAAAAAAAAAGCAAGAAATGAAACCTGTGAAGGAGGTGTTATTATCATCTCCATTTTACAGATGAGGAAACTAAGGCAGATACAGGTTAAAGTGACTTGCTGAGAGTCACTCACCTAGTAAACATCTGAGGCTGGATTTGAACTCAGTGACTTAGGAACTGTGACACCCAGCTGCCTCTAATATTTGGGGCCAGCTACTTGATCCTCATCTCCAATTCCTACTGCCCTACTCTCAGCCCTCTCTTCTTCAGGCTAAAAATCTGCATGTCTTCCAACTAATCTTCACAGTAGACGGAAGCTTCTGGAAGGCAGGGACTAGTGCCCAGATAAGTATCTATATCTTCAGAGCTTAGCACAGAGCCTGGCAGAGCTGTGCTTATGATGGCTGATAGATTCATACATATCGCATGATCTCTGACCCCTTAGCCATCCTGGGTTCCAATGGCCCTCTAGATGTGGTCTGTCTGACCTGTGCAGAGTAAAGCAGGCCTCTCTCACCTTCCTAGGATCCTTCCATGTCACAGAGTCCAAGCTCTCATCCTACACGTCCATTTCCTGGACCCTCCTCCTTCTCTCCCTGGGCACAGTAACCAAGCCAATCCTACCAGAGCTTCAGGTAAGGATACATGATTCTACTGCCCCAGGGCTCCACCTCAGCCTTTTCCCTTCCCTCTTTTCTAATTAGAATGAAAGCTCCTGGAGGGCAGGGCTTGTCTCTTTTTTGTATTTCTATCTTCAGGCTTTAGCACAGAGCAAGGCACAGAACAAGTTATTAATTGATATTTGCCGATCATTCATCTGTAAAGTGAAGGGCTTGGCCTGGACTCCACTATGGTCCCCTCCAGCTCAAAATCTCTGATCCCATGATCCGAGGCATCCAAGTAGAGGCGAGATGACCCCTTAGCCAAGATGGTACAAAGGGGATAGTGCCAGGCCTGGGCTGGACAAGACAGTCTGAGGGCTCTGCCAGCTCTGAGCTTCTAGGATTCTGAGTAGAAAAGAGGGTACTGGGAAAGGCTAATGAGAACTCTGACACCCCATGTTCTAAGGCCCCTCCCATTCCATATTCTAAGGCTCCTCCTTTGTTCTGACATCCCATGTTCTAAGGCCCCTCCCAGCTCTGACATTCCCTGTTCTAAGGCCCCTCCCATTCCATGTTCTAAGGCCCCTCCCAGCTCTGACAGTCTCTATTCTAAGGCCTCTCCCATCCCATGTTCTAAGGCCCCCTTCCTGCTCTGAGACCCCGTGGCAGTCTCAACATTCATCTATGACATTTGGGTTTCTTTGAAAAACCATTTCCCCACCAAAAAACAGAAAGCCCGACCATTTGAGTCTCATGAATCATTCAGGGAACGACATTTTGAAGTGCATCTGTCAGAGCCACTAATTGCTTCTGCCAGCTGCTGACGGTGGAACGGGCAATAGTCTGTTCCTGGACAGCCACTGGAGGCCTCTACTCCTGAGGCTTAAGGTCAATGGCAGCCTTCTCTGGGCCTGATTAAATGGGCCCTGATGTACTTACCCTGAGCCCTGCAGCTCCTCCAGATTGGATGCATTCCACTCAGAGCCCTAGGAAACACAGAATACACAGAAATCCCAACATGTTCAGATGGCCGTAGCCTCAGGGAACACCCATGGTCTGGCCCTAGAGTCACTGCTGCGGAAGGGTTTGGTCAAGGCCAAGGTATCAAGTGGAAGGGTCTGATTCAAAGAAATTTCCCTTGTAATTCACCACTCTGTCCTCGATCTCAGGACCAAGGAGCTGGTGGGGGGGTTGGAGGGAGCAATGGTGGCAAGAGATTTGGGTTCTGGCTGTGGGAAGACCTCTTTAACCTCCGAGGCTCAGTTTTCTTCTTGGTAAATTGAGGCTGAGATAGAAGGAATGGCCCTTAAGCCCTCCCAGCTCTGACATCCCCTGTTCCCAGGCCCCTCCCAGCTCTGACATCCCCTGTTCCTCAGGCCCCTCCCAGC